CCGATGTGGTCTCTCCAATCCGCGGCCCCAGAGGTCCCGACCGTTTTTCCCGGGGGGTAGCTCTGCGCCCCGGATCCACGTCAGACGGTCCCCGGGCCCAAGAGCGGGCCCCGAAGGCTGAGGCTTCCAGGAAAAAGGCCCAGCTTGAAGAGATCACCTCCCTGGAGATCTGCCTCCCCTGCGATCCGACGGCGCGACAAAATTGAAATGTCGTACAACATCTGGACGGGATGTTATACGAACGTTCGCGTAATGCGTAGTTTCGAAACCAACGTAGATTCATGCACGCGAACGTCCTGACAGGGAAACGGGCCCTGGACCCCCGTGACCTTCCCCCAGGACGAGATTTCTTCACCTGAAAACGTTTTCGGACAGTCCCGCGGCCCGTGGAGGGTACCGAAAGCCCGAACACCGCAATATACCTCAGGACCCGTGTCCCCACCCTGAGATCCGACGTTCCAGAAAGATGCAATGCCGCAAAACAAGTCACGACTCGAGCCCAGGACCTCATCTTTCTACATCATCTTGCAAGCCGGATCGAGTCGTGAGGGTCTCGGGGTCCGAAACCGGGCGGCAGCGCCCGCATGTGAAAAATTGCAACGCCGGTATCTCAGAGGGGCCCCGACAACAAACCTCAGGACCCGCCTCCCTCCACATACCCCCGACGTCGTGTTTTTGTTCGCCAGCGTCCACCCCCAGAGGTCTGGACCCGTTCCCCGGGACCGGCTTTCCATCCTGCGTCGTCTTCTGACAGCCCCGATGCTCGGTGAGAGGGCCCCTGGAGGCCGAACATCGCGAAACACCTCCCGTCCCGCTTCTTTCTCGCCCGTGGTCAAAACATTTCGCGCCCCGAGGCGGGGCGCTGGCCGGCCTCTCCTCCCCGGCGGGCCCGGGCGGCGCGGCGAGCGCGGCCGGCGCCGCGGGCGCGGGGCTCTTCGCCGCCGCCAGGGCGGGCGCCGGCGGCGCTCCGGGCGGCCCGCGCTCCTCCGGCGCTCCCGAAGAGTCGGGGGTGGACAGACATCCTACCCTGACACGTCGATTAAGGAATTGGCCGTTTTCGGTTCGCAGGAGGGCGTCGCGGCCGTTGTTTTTGCGGGTCCAGGTCCGTCGGTTTCGGTCCCAGGCCGTTTTCACTAAGGGGAGGTTTACTAAAGGGAGGTTTGTCCACCGCCGAGGGGGGGAAGCAGGTCCTAGAGAGAGACCTGGCGGCGTGCAGAGGGGGTCAGCGGGTGGGGGGAAGGCATCTTAGGAGGAGGCTGCTTTTCAGAAAGGCGCCGGCCTGGACATATGCAGACAGGGGGCGCGCCTTCTAAGAAGCAGGGGTGCTTCCAAGAAGCCTTCCCCCCTCCCCCTACCCTCCTCTGCGCGCCGCCAAGGGATCCAGACCCCCTCGCGTTCTGAGCGAATAGGGACGGGATTTGTTTCGCTATTTTCGCCGATGCATCGGCGATGCGGCGCGAGCCTCCGAACCCATCTACTCGGACCCCATCTAGGAGGCCTCTGTCAAAGGAGGAAGAACCACCCTGACCCCGTCAATTGGCGTTTACTAAACAACCCTGGGCGTTTACTCAGCAGCCCTGCCCTGTTCGATTGTTCCTTTGGGTGCGTGTACTAAACGGCTTCGCGCGTCGGGGTGATTACGATGAGGGTGGAGTCGCGGCTCTCTAGTCCAGCCGCACGGCCCATGCTCATCGGCGGTGGTGCGGCGTAGTCGTCCGACCCGCTCTCCTCTGCTACGGGCAACTATAAGTAAGAAGAGGGGAAGGTGCTCAGACCGCTGCCCTTCCCCCGCGTTCGCCTTGTTGGGCCTCCCGGGAGGCCCTCGTCGTTGTTGGGCCTCCCGGGAGGCCCTCGTCGCCACCGCTGGATTCGCCTCGAAATCCTGGTCAGAACGCGCCCTGGGAGAGGTCTGGGGAGCAGCGGCATCGGCCCAAAAGGGGGTCCAGCTGAACGAGGGTGGTGCGATAGACTTGGTGGAATTGAGTTGTGCTTCTGCACCAGATTCGGGGCGGGCAGTACATTCCTGTGCGCAACCGTTTTGCTGGATCTTCGCGTGCACTCCATTGTGTGCAGCATCGGTGCCGTTTTGCTCGGCTACCCCGGCGACAGAGCGGCCCCTCGCCGGAGTGACGGACCCTCTGGTTAGGGCGACGAGATCTATACATATCCACTGCTCCTGGCCAGGCCCATCCTGGGCCCAGGAGCTGTGTATATGCCTCCCTGGCCAGGCCAGGAGGGCGTATACACCGCTCCTGGGCCCAGGATTGGCCTGGCCATGAGCAGTGGATATGCATAGATCTCGTCGCCCTATCTGGTGCGGGCCCACAGGACCCCCCCCCTTCCCCCGGCGTGGGCGTGCGCGCTGTGGAGGCCACGCTTGCCCGGGGCCGTCTGCGAGCGGGGGGGGGAAGATGAGCAGGAGACGGCCCACGCAGAGGGCGGCGGGCCTCCTCGGAAGCCCTCTGACCTTCGGAGGGGCTCTCGCTGCGTCGTCGGGGGAGGCGCAGGAGACTTCTCGGGAGGCCGGGGGACTGCCGAGCCTTCGGAGAGGGCCCGCGCCTTCTCTTCCCCCCCCCCTCGCTCGCCGCCGATCTGGGCCCCCCCCCCGCTCGCGTCGCTGATTTGCTCGGGGCCCGTCCCCCTGCGGCCTCCAGGTGCTCTGGGCGGACTGCTCGGGTCCGCGAGCCCGCCGCCGCCGCCGCCGTCCCCTCGCGGAGGCCAGGGGGCAATTGGAAACGAGGGATGCGGGCACTGCTGCTCCCTGGGTGTCTCCCTCCCCCGAGTGCGGTCTCTGACCGGGATTCGGGAGCCGTGAGACGGGGGTCAATGCAAACGGGGGTCAGCCAGAGCGCCCGATCTTGCAGGATCCTGCACGGCCAGGGTCGCACTGACCCGGGCTTGGGTGCAAGATCTTGCAGGATCTTGCAGGATCCTTTGCATTGACCCGGGTTTGGGTGCAGGATCTTGCAGGATTCTGCAAGGCCTGACTGACCCGGGTCTGGATTGACCCAGGTCAGAAGATCCCCGAGGGATGTCGATAGATTGCGCGCAAGGATGGCCTCTTTCGCCGGAGGGACCTTTCTGGTGCGGGCCCCCTGGGGTCCCCCGATCAACGGTCGCGAAGCGGCAGCGGCGGCTTGCCCGCCCAGGTTTGGCCACCCCGCGTGCCCCGTTTGACCGCGCACCAGGGGTCGCTTGTGCCTAGGGTCCCTCTTCTTGGCATCGCTTGGACGTGTGTGTTTTTTCTTCGGCGAGGACCATCGAGGAGCATCCTTGACCATTTGGCGGAAAAACCACGCACGAAACCGAACAAAAACACAAGAAACGGACGTCCGAGCGATGGCCAGTCTTGCGTGTGGCAGATTCAAGGCGGACCCAGCAGTGGGAACGAGGGCCAGGCCCCAAAGAGGCAAAAACGAGAGAGGGGTAATCGAAGATTTCTGATACTCCACCCGGTGGGATAACGAAGTTCCGGAGTCAGGGAGGATGATCACTGTCTCGTCTCAGCAATTCTCATGTACGGGGGTAGGGATGGGATGTTGTATTATCTGGGGCGCTCGGTTGGCAGTACGGTGGAGGCGTGCGTTGAGGAAGTTGCACAGGAGGCTTCGGAATGCTTCAGACCTTGGAGGGTTTGCTATCTGACAATGGCGGCGGTGATATCCGTGGCCAGGCCTCAATGGAGCGACGTCGATAACGGTGCTGTCTTCATCGTCATTGGCGCGTGAGCTGCCCGCGTAAGGTCGCGCGCAAGTGCCCTCGTTTCCGATGTAGTGTGCCACGCTGGCGGCCCGCGTAAGCCTCCGCGTAAGGTCGCTATGTCTCGCGTAAGACCTGCTTCGTTTCGCTTCGCCATTGAAGTTCCATTGGCTTCCAGACCCTGCACGCCTTATCCAAAGGCTCCTGATCCAATACCCTCACCGTATTGGTTCAGTATCGTCTGACCGATTCCCATCCCCACTGGGGCATCGTATCTCAGCCCCGCCATCTCACCCCCCAGTTGGGGATATGCCCTGCGAAACCCGATGGGAACAGCACGCATCCCCACGTGGGAGCGCCCATCGACCAGTGGGACCATGGGCACGCCAGTGGGGATTGGGATCGTTGAAACGATCCTCAGTGCCTCTCCCTGCTGTCAGATCATCGAGAATAAAAGAACCTTCAACCCACATCACACATAACAACACCATTCGGGTCCCCGTGCTTGCCGTCGGGATATGTCGTCTGGTACTTTGTTTTGATACATCTGCAGGAAAGACCCCCCTATCCCTCATGCCGTGGGCCTCTTGACTTCGGTCCGCTCCCAAAGGCTTCGGGGTATACCTCCCTTGAGCTCCGACGTTGCAACAAATGCCACACAGCAAGACATCACGACCGCATGCCCGGATACCAGCTTCCTGCGTCGATTTTCGGGCCCGACCGATGTGTGAGGGTCCCGGGGCCCGCAATCGAGCGAATCCGCCCCGCTCGGAAAGATGGTGTCGCCAGGATCTCAGGGTCTTCTGCTTACCGTCCGAGGCGGCCTCTTCGCGTCCGCCGGCGGCGCCTCGGGCACCGTCGGCCTCTTCGGCGCCGCCTCGGCCCCGCCGGATGGCGCCCCGAGCGCCGCGGGCGCGCCCGGCACCTTTGCGTGGGTAATCAAAGGGAGGAAGCAACACCTGGACCCGAGGATTGGCGTTTGCTACACGGCCCGGGGCGTGTGCTCATGAGCCCTGCCCCGTTCGCCTCCTTCTCTGGGTGCGTCAACGGAACGGCTCCGCGTGTGGGGGTGATTCGTAAGAGGGTGGATGGCCTGCCCTCGATTAGGGGAACAAAAAGTGGCATGAACAGAAGAACTCGGAGGTCCGCGCGGGTTTCTCGGATCGGCGCTGGACCCCCCTACCTGGCGGGCGGAGCGCGCCAGGGGCGGCGCCGGAGGCGCGGACCTCCGAGTTGTTATGTTTATGTCACTTTTGTTCCCTTATCTATAGGTGAGCCCCGACGCCGCGGCGAGCGCAGGCGGCGCGCTGGGCGGCCTGTTCGCCGCGGCGGCGCCGGGCGCCGAGGCCTTTTTTGTATGCCGTTTTGGGGCATGTTTGGTCGGCGAGGCCAGCGCCAGAGCATCAGAACATCTTGATTCGCGGGTCGAGAGCGCACCTCTTCCGGTCGAAGCTAATCGGGCCGCGCGAAGCTTGAATTAACCATTGAGGGGGAGGAAAAGGGGGGGGCGCAGCCTCAGAACGAGGCCGGGAGGAGGCAAAGCCTCGGGATCAGGCGGTGCCGTAGTCGACGTACTTGCAAAGGCGCGCCTTTTCCAGGAGCCCGGTGGCGAAGTACCGGCAGAAGCAAAATGCTGTGGTTGGTGCTCCAGAGCATCACAACATCCTGGAGCATTTGGGCCATCTGGAAAGAAACACGGGGGGTGGACAGACCTCCTATATCCTGACGCGTCCATTAGCGAATCCGCCGTTTTCGGTGCGCAAGAGGGCGTCGCGGCCGCCATTTGTGCGGGTCCAGGTCCGTCGGTTTCGGTCCCAGGCCGTTTGCACTAAAGGGTGGTTTGCTAAAGGGAGGCTTGTCCACCGCCGAAGAATTCACTTTTCCGTCGGCGGCGATGCAAAGGAAATGCGCACTTGCGTCGGGTGAACCGGTGTAACCGATAGGGAAATTGTCCGGCGCGCAAGAGAGAGAGAGAGAGAGAGAGAGAGAGGCGAAGACGAGGGCGGCCGCGCGAAGGGTGGAGGGGGAGGGCGCTCAGACGTGGAAGAGTTCCGCGGTGAGCGGGCCGGAGCGGCGAAAAAAGCAAAACAGAAGAAAAACACGCACGAAGCCAAGCAATGCACGGGAAATGGACGTCCGAGGGATGGCACGTTCTTCCGTCGAAAAAGAAGTTTGGAGCCGGCTGGGCATCTGAGGTGGCCCGGCATTGGTTCCGGCGAGCAAGGCCTTGGGTTCGGGAAGTTTGTTTACCTTTTTCCCGTGCCGTCTTCAGGCCCTCGAGTGGAAAACGGATCCGGGGCGGAAAACTTCGCCAGATGAACCCTGGGAGCGGTCGGGGGGCCGATGTTGAGCGGATGTGGCCTCAATCCCCCTTCCCGATAGATCTTCTGGGGTCCGAACCAATTCAGACCCCCCGGCCGCCTCCCAGATGAAGCGACGCCACCAGCATCAGGGGGGCCACCTCCAGCGAGGGGGTCAACGATGCCTCTCCGAAGTGGGCATGGGGGATGTCTCAAGCGAGAGGGGGTGGGGGGGGCACACCACCAGGGGGACCTCCCTTGCATCAGAGCGTGAATTACCTACCCCGCTTTCGCTTCCAGGCGAAACCAAGTCATACCACGCGCCTCCTCGTCGAGCGGCCTGACCAGTGCCGGCCGTAGTGTGGCATCGCTTGGTATCTCTTGGAAGCGAGGGTGGTCAAAAGCGAGGCATAGGTTTGTTTGCCCCCTATTGCGAGAGGGGGGGTAGGGGATGTCTCGAGCGAGAGGGGGGGATGTCTCGAGCGAGAGGGGGGGATGTCTCGAGCGAGAGGGGGGGTGGGGGATGTCTCGAGCGAGAGGGGGGGGGACCTCCCTTGCAGGGGCCGGCTTGGAGCTGCCGCTGTCTCGACCCGCCCTTCTCCGAGCTCTCGTCGGTGGTCTTGCGAGTCGCGTGTGCAGCGCGCGGGCGCCCTCGCGGGGCCCCGGGGCCGCTAGAGACTCAGCAGGACCGTCGAGAAGGCCCCCCCCCCATGGAAGGGGTGCAGCATTCCGGGCACCCCGCAGAGCGAAAACAGTCGAGGCATTGGAGGTCTGGGCCTTGGTGGGCCTCGGAAGCGGCAGGGCCGTTGTTTCACCGTTTCCAAAAAAAATGCCCCTTGAAAATGGAAACTGCAAAGAAACGGCGACCGGAAACGGCAACAAAAACGGCTCCAGGATTGGAACCGGAGCCGGAACTGGTCACAAAACGGCGACGGAACCGGTAAAACAACGGCGTCGGAACCGGGAAAAAAACGGCAAAACGGAAACAGTAAAAAAACGGCCCTGTCGTTTCCAGGGCCCACCAAGGTTTGGGCCGTCGTCGGCGTCGGCGTCGGCGTCATTCGTGCTCGTCGACGCCGTCGTCTTCGCCGCCGCCGTCGCGGTCGCCTCCGTCGTCGTCGTCGCGTCGCGGCCGAGGCGGGCTTCGGCAGAGCAGCGGGCGGCGGCCTGTTCGCTTCGGCGCAGCCGGACCTCGCGGGCACCCGAAAGGCGTAACCGCGCGCCGGTGGGCCATGGTGGCGTCACGCAGGCGCAGGGGCGTCCAGGAGAGGGGTGCGGACTGACGGTTCGAGCAGGGGCGAGGCGCCCTGGCCTGCCTATTACAGGCCAACCGAAGATTGTGTCCAGCGCCGGTGATCTGCACGAAGTGTGCTCGGGACATGTCTGGCAGAGACCGTCTTGTTTTGACGCGCTGGCTTCGTGATCTGGGAACGTTCCTTCTGTAGTGAGAGCACTCGTTGGTTCTGAATCAGCGTTTCGTGGCAGGTCTGTATGATTGCAGGGACTGTCGGTCCATGCTCAAAGGGCGGGGTGTCCTTCGGATGGTTTTGGACGTTTTCGTCAACTCTTGCAGATCATCCTGCCTTGAGGTGCTTTTGCAGCAGCTGCGCCTCGTCGGGGCCTTTCCATGAGTGCCGGGGTCGTCTTCTGAACGGCTGCCGGAGTCTAGAGCCGATGGCCCAGGGGGGTGATGACTACCCTGACCTTCCAGGAGGACTAAAAAATAGCACCAGAACCTTGATGATTACCCAAAGTCCAGTCGAGGTTTCAAGCAGACCAGATAGGTCTATAGGTCTGGAGAATTATCTGTTGGCACTCTGGAAGGTCAGGGGAAGTTTACTCATATGTCCTTTACTCCCCCACAACCCACCCACATGCCTTCTGATTCATCCTTGATGCGGGGTCCTGACTCAGATGGTGAGTTGTGCAGATGGCATCAAAGTTGGATCGGATGGGACCAGATCTCTATTCCAACATCATTGTGCGTAGTTGCTTTGCCCTTTGTTCTTCTGTTCCTCTGCCCTTCTCCGGTTTACAATTCTCAGAGGAGGAGGAGGAGGAGGAGGAGGAGGAGGAGGAGGAGGAACAAAAGAAGAGGACAGAGCAGTATTTCCAGGAGCAGCGAGGAGGGGGAGGGAAGGGGCCAGGAGGACCAGGAGGAGGAGGAGGAGGAGTCGGAGGCAGAAGAGAAACAATAGTGAAGAGGGAGGGACGAGAGGAGGAAGAGGAGTAGGAGGAGGAATAGGAGGAGGAGGAGCAGCAGCAGGAGGAGGAGCAGCAGGAGGAGGAGCGAGAGGCGGAGGCGCGCAACGAGGAGGAACGGAGGGGGAGGAGGAGGAGGAGGAGGAGGAGGAGGAGGAGGAGGAGGAGGAGGAGGAGGAGGAGGAGCGGGAGTTGGCCGAGGAAGCGAAGAAGGATGGAACGGAGGAGGAACGGGAGGCGGAGGGGGAGGAGGATGATGAGGAGGAGGAAAAGAAGTGAGATGATGAGGAGGAGAAGGAGCGAGAGGAGGAGGAGGAGGAGGGGGAGGAGGAGGAGGAAGAGGACCCCAGGGCTCACGCCCCCATCTTCCAGACCAGGCCTCGGAGGGGGGGAGGAGGAGGAGGAGGTGGAGGAGGAGGAGGAGGAGGAGGAGAGGAGGAGGAGGGGAGGAGGAGGAGGAGGAGGAGGAGGACGACGAGGAGGAGGAGGAGGACGAGGAGGAGGAGGTGGAGCTCCTGCACTCGGGGAGGGGGATGTGCCACCGAACTCCCCCCGAGGACGCCGACGCGGGCTCTGGAGGCACGCGGGGGCCGCAGAGGGGCCTCTTCGCCTCCGCCGCTCCAGGCGCCGACGGAAGAGAGGGGTGATGCTGACCGGGGAAGGGGAGGGGCGGGGAGGAATAGAGGGGAGGAGGAGGGAGGAGGAAGGATGGGAGGAGGAGGGAGGGGAGGAGGGAGGGGAGGAGGAGGGGAGGAGGAGGGAGGGGTGGAGGAGGGAGGGGAGGGGAGGGGAGGGGAGGGGAGGGGAGGGAGAGGGAGAGCGAGGAGGGGAGGGAAGGCGCGGGCGGGGCAAGGACCAGGATGAATCGTTCAGGATCGTGCCGGGGCGCTCTCAGAGCGTGCGGAGCAGCGCTCCGGAGCGGCCGCGGCGCCCGAGACATCAGCCAGAACCGCCAGAGGTCAGAGAGCCACGAACTGTCCTCTCGTTGGGTGTTGTCCCCTCCGTGGCCTCGTCTCAAGGGGGGGGGGAGAGGGTTGTGCCGACATGGCGGGGCATGGTGGAGAGGGCGAGCGGTGCTGACCTGGGGTGGGAGGGAGGGAGGGAGTGAGAGGCTTGGTCTCCCCCTCCTTCCCCTCTTCCTCCTCCTCCTCCTGCTCCTCCTCGTCCTCCTGCTCCTCCTCCTGCTCCTCCTCCTGCTCCTCCTCATCCTCATCCTCCTCCTCCTCCTCCTCCTCCTCCTCCTCCTCCTCCCCCTCCTCCTCCTCCACCTCCTCCTCCTCCCCCTCCTCCGAGGCCTGGTCTGGAAGGACGCGTGCGCGAGCGCAGCCCCAGAAAGCCAGGGGCTGCGGGTTCGCCGAGGCAGTCGTCGGCATCGGTTCAGGGTCTCGTAAGTGGCGGCAGCCAATGTTATCTCGATGACATAACAATGAGGTCCGTGGGTCGGGCTCCTCTTGCAGCACACATTGTCGGTCCGCGTCTCCCTCCTGACCACTAGCCTGTCCACGCCTGCGTGTTCAAGAGAATGCAATCACAACATGATATAATAGGAAGAGCTTGTGGTGATTCAATTGGTATTGGATATCTACGGGTCATATATGTGATCGCGAGTCGTCTAGAGCTCGCGAGGGTAATTCGGGTACCGCCCAAGCAGTCTGGTGACGATTCGTCGTGCTCTTTGGTCTGTGTGCTGGTTCTTGTTGTGACTATGTTTCATGTTTCTCCCAAAATCTGCCTGTGGGAGAACATGCCCGACCTACGGCTGGCCTTAATCTGCTGGGAGGAGCCGTCAAGCAGAAGGGGCTGTCGGCCCTGATCGATGGCGCGCTCAAGGCCCAGCTCAGGGAGGCGCATGATAGGGCCGAGGGGTCACGGCTCGTTCTTTTCTCTTTTGTCTCGTTGCTTGGGGCTGGTGCGTGGCTGACGGCCCCCCTGGTAGACGATGGTAAGGAAATCGAGTCGGCGTCATTCAATGTTGCCGTCTGGCGGCGTTTGCGGCTGCCATTGGCGCCGGCCAGCGTTTGCTGCCTATGCCGGGAGCCAGGTGTTCGACGCCTTCAGGCGCCGCGCTTTGAAGTGCCGCTGCAAGGTCGACCGCACGGCCCATCACAACGCCACTCGCGACGTGGTCTTCAGCGACGAAGCCCTTCCAGGGAGCGTTGCCGCGTGTAAGAAGGCGGGCATGTTGCTGGCCAGGCCCGCCGAACACGGCCTTGGGCACGCCTGGGGGCTGCCGGCGAGGTGCTGGGCTTCGCCTGCACCTCGGGACTTCGCCGCGGCTTCCTGGAGGGGTCTGCCGTCCATGGGGGCGCGGGCGCTCCAGGCCTACGAGGATGTCAAGGCCATGGACGTCGAGTGCTCGGCAGCTGGGCGCAAGTTTTGACGCCCACGGTCGTGGAGTCCCCCGGTGGTGGCGCCGGAGCCCCCGAAGGCCCTCTCGGCGCCCTCGACAGGCCCGCGAAGGCCCTCGCGGCGGCGGCATGGCTCGAAGGTCGGGGGCCAGCCTCGCTCGGAAGCGCCGAGCGCACACCTCGGGTATAGCCAGGACCCCAGGTACGGGGACCCAGTTGGCAGTAGGGCCCCTGCGCCCCTAAAGAATCACTGCACCAGGTCTGCCGTGGCTGGTGTTTCTTCGGGTAGCGGCAGTTCCGGTTAGTGGAACGGGACGGGGGGGGCGCCCCCCGGTACACATCACTGAACCAGGTCCCACTAAGCCCGGTTCTGCAAACACCCGAACATCGCGCAACCTGCCGGGGGAGAGCGCGCGGGCGGAGGCTCCGGGGAGGAAGCGGTGCACGCACAGCTAATTACCCTTCGCCCGCTCTCCCCCTTTTTGGGGGGCCTCCCGGGAGGCCCTCGTCGCCACCGCCGGACTCACGCACCCGGGCAGAGGTCTGCGGAGCGGCAGCGGCATCGGTGCCTTTTGGCGGCTCCCCGGGGGCCGAGGAGGCTGCTCTCCTCGGCCCCGCTCTCCCTGCCCTCCTGCGGGCGGGCGCGGCCGAGCCCGGTCGTCGTGCAGGCGATGGGCGTGTCTTCACCAGGGCTGGGCCGAAGCGCTGTGTTGCTGGGCTTCGGCGGCGTGTTGTTCTGTCGTTCTGGCGGGAAGGCACTGGTCACCACCCACCAAACCACCCCAACCCAACCCGAAGGCTCAAATTTACCCTCGATTTCCAGTGGGGGGGGGGTCGGGAAACGTCGAAAAAACACATGTGGAACCCTTACCCCCCCCAACCCGAAGTTCGGGTCTTCGGGTTGGGTTGGGGTGGTCTGGTAGGTAGTCAACAGGAGAGCGCGTCGAGCAGAGCGAGCATCAGAACGACAGCAAAACGAGCAACAACGTGTAGGTCCAGCCCTGGTCTTCGCACGGGTGCGCGCCCCCGGGCCGCATGCCGCACCTCCTCCCTCTGCCCTGCCCTCTGTGTCTTGTGCCTTCTGCTCCTTCCTCCCTCGGCTCCTGGCCCCCGGCTCCGGGTCTCAGTATTCTCCGAGTCTCCTTCTATCTGCGTGTGCCTGGCGCTTCCCTTTGTGGTGTGGTGTTGTCCCTCTGCCCCCGGCTTCCCTGACCCTGGCCTCCCAGAGTGCAGAACGTTGCATTCCTACGGACCTGATTATCTAGACTGCTTCAGGCCTCGATTGGAGCTCAGGAGCCAGGGTCCTGGTGCTATTTCCCCCCCTGGAAGGTCAGGGCTCCCTCCCGCAAGGTCAGGGATAGTGCTCCCCTGGAAGGGGCAGGGGCTCCCCTCCCTCGTCGGTCGGCCCGCCCGTCCCCTTGGTCTGCCTGTCCGTCTCCCTCCCCCTTGGCATCGCTCGGACGTGTGCATTTTTTCTTGGCGACGACCATCGAGGAGCATTCTTAATCATCCAGCGAAAAATACACGCACGAAGTCGAGAAATGCACGGGAAATGGACGTCCGAGCGATGGCGAGGAGGGGCGTGGGCCTCTCGTGGGGGGTGGGGGAGGGCTGTCTCGGCGGCGAGCCTGGGGTTCAGTCGGGTGCGCCCCTTTACAGGAGGAGTACCCAAAAGTAGCCCACCACAAAGAAAGTCTGGTGACGATTTGCTCAGCACTCTTCAATATGATTGCATATTGTTTGAGTATTTTTTGTTGTCGTCCACGATCCGCCTGTAGGATGGCACGCCCGACCTAAGCGTGGGGGGGAAGGGAGAAGGAGAAGACCTTCTCAGAAGGCTCGGAAGCCGCCCGGGCTTCGGGGAAGTTTTCTAAGCTCTCCTTCGCCCAAACCGCAGAAAACCCTCTAGAAGGCGCCAGGGCTCCTGAGAAGTCCCGCCGCATTCTGAGAAGACCTTCTCCTTCTCACTCCTCCCCTTCGCTCGCCGCCGGCTGTTCGTGCCCGCGGTGCGCAGTCTGTGCAAAGCTGCACCGTGGACTGACAAAAGATGATGGCCCCCCTTCTGGCCTCTGGAGCGAGTCGAGCGTCCGACAGGAAGGAGATTCGAAGAGGCATCCAATAAACAAGAACACACAACAGAGTAGGGCGGAGGGAATGAGGACGAATGTGGAATGTGTCGGAGCTTCGAGGGGGGAGAGAAGGGGGAGGAGGAAGAAGAATCCGAGAGCGGATGGATGGGGAAAGAGGGAGGAGGCGGGGTGAGGGAGGACGCAGGGAAGGAGGAGGATGCAGGAGAGGGAACGTGAGAAGGGGGAGGGGCAAGCCAGGCTCTCTCGTGCCAGCACTTCACGCGTTAAGTTCGTCCTGTTTCGTGGGGTCTGGTTTATTTGTTTTTTTCTGTGGGCCGAATCGGTTTCTCTCTAGGCCGACCTGGGTAACCTCCACCCCAGGATGCCAGTTGCATGTTTGGGCTCGTTGCTTCTGCTGTGGAGTCCGCAATGCGGGGGGGTGGGTGTTGTGCAGTTTGATTTGGGGCAGCATGGGTCAGAATATGGAGGAGGACTAGCTCAGCAGCAGGTGCAAGCGTAGGAGCAGGAGGAGCAGCAGAAGCGTGAATGAGCACTGCAAGGCGGGGGACGAGGAGGAGGGGAAACGAGGAGGACGGCAACGACAGAGTAAAGACATGGTCCGTCAGCGGCGACAATGGAATCGTTTCCAGAAGTGTAGCGCGTTTGGGCAAGACCGCAGATTCGAACGACGGGCACAAAGTGCCGACCCTGAAATGTGGCCCCAGCGGGAACGCACGTCCCAGCGGAGCACGCAAATGGAGCACACACACACACACACACACACGCGCTTGCTCGGACGCGCCGGCGGGTTGCAATCACTGGGTAATCTGCATTGGGACGGGTCGCGCTCAACAAAAATATACGCATGACATGTGCATGTTGATAATTGGTTGTGCGTGCGGAAACCAGAACGCAGGAGGAGTGCGTCAACATGTGACAGAGGAGCGCAGCATTCAGAACAAAGAAGTTTTAGAGGACGAGGGACGAGGGATGAAGAAACAACCGTACACCAGGATGCATACTGGGGAAAGGAGGAGACAGGAGAGGGAGATCATATGGGGAGGCGGAAGAGGATGGATGACGAGGGGGAGGAGGAGGGAAAAGGGAGGATACGGATGAGGGTGATAACGAAAGGAGGGAGCAGGATGGTTGACGAGGGAGGCGATGTGGAGGAGCAGTAGAGATGGATGGATGGTGCCCGCGAGAAGGAGAGAGAGAGAGAGAGAGAGATAGAGAGAGAGGGCGAGAGTGAGAGAGGGAGAGAAAGGACGAAGGCGAGGAGCGGTGGACGAGATTCAGGATGGCGGGAACAACAGGAGTGAATTTGTGCTGGGGAGGACGGCAAGGTGTAGGTAAATGTCGGAAGGATGATGGAACAGGCATGGTGTAGAGAAAGATCTGGGATGAGGTCGGAGGGAGGGAAGTCAGGTGTGGGGCTTGCGGGGTTTGTGGGGTGGGAGGTGGAAGGGGTGCGGGTTATGCCTGCTGCTGCCACATTAACTGCGCCGTCCTTCTGCGCACGCAACTGGATGCGCGTAGTCATGCGCCACGGGGTGGTATAAGGTACACGGGCAGAATTGCCTACGGCGATTGCGCAGCACGGGTGCACATTTAATTCCAATGTATGGCTTCATTGGCAGATCATGCGTACACGTCTGCACAAACACCCATGCAAACTCGCATGCACACTCGCATGATGCACTAGTCGTGATCGCGTCTGTCTTCGGGATCGCGTAACAGATCATTGGGTGCTGATACAGCCCGCCTCGCCGCTGTTGCATCGCCTGCAGTTGTTACTCGTCGTCCTGCCCCCCCCCCCCCCTGCAAGGCAGCGCGGCGAGCACAGGTGGCGGCGGTGCGACAGGCAGTTTATTTTCTTCGGCGAGGTCAGACAGTGGACCCAGCGCGGGAGGCGCCGTCGGCGGCCTCTTCGCCGCTGCTGGCTCGGGAGGCGCGGCCAACAGCGGCGGCCTCGCCCTGGGCGGTCTCTTCTCCCCGGGTGGCCCCAGCGCCGGGGCAGGCAGCGGAGGCGCGCTGGGCGGCATGTTCGCCTCGGCGAAGCCAGACGGCGGCGCCACAGCGAGTGGCGCGCTGGGCGGCTTGTTCGCCTCGGCAAAGCCAGACGGCGGCGCCACAGCGAGTGTCGCGCTGGGCGGCTTGTTCGCGCCGGCAAAGCCGGACTGTGTGGCGAAAGAGAGCGGCGCGTTGGGCGGCTTGTTCGCCTCGGCGAAGCCAGACGGTGCGGCGACAGCGGGCGGCGCTCTGGGCGGCCTGTTCGCCTCGGCGAAGCCAGACGGCGGCGCCGCAGGGAGCGGCGCGTTTGGCGGCCTGTTCGCCTCGACGAAGGTAGGCAGCGACGTGGCAGCAAGCGGCGCGCTGGGCGGCCTGTTCGCCCCGGCGAAGCCGGACGGCGGCGCCACAGCGGGCGGCGCGTTGGGCGGCCTGTTCGCCTCGGCGAAGCCAGACGGCGGCGCCACCGCGGGCGGCGCGTTGGGCGGCTTGTTTGCCTCGGAGAAGCCGGACAGCGACGTGACAGCGAGCGGCGCGTTGGGCGGCTTGTTCGCCCCAGCGAAGCGGGACGGCGAGGCTAGCGGGCTGGGCAGCCTCTTCGCCTCGGCGAAGCCGGACCGGCAGGGATGCTTTCGCTAAGAGAAAGAGGATGAGGAATATGTGACCGAAGAGAAAGAGAAGGAGGAGGAGGAGGAGGAGAAGAAGGAGGAGAGGAACAGGAGCAGGAACAGGGAAAACCATGATCAGAAAGCTGAGGGCCTTTCCCTATTCTGCTCCAGTCTTGGTGCCTGCTGCAGGTTCTCGCACTTCTGCCACCGTGCCAGCCCATCACTCTGTGCGGCGATTCACCCAGAGGGCCGTGACATGTGACAGCCCTCGACCATCGGCTCCAGAGGGCCGTAAAGCGCCTTTCCACAGGCTCGGGAAGGCAGTGTATAACTTGCGGTCGCCGTCTTCCTCATGTTCCGGAAGGCCGTTCCCATATCGCTCTACCAATTCTAGACGCTTCGCGTATCCCCACCAGCCCGTCCAGAAACGACGCCCAGGCGAGTAGAGGGTCGTCCTGAGGGACTTTTCGGCGTCTTGGGTGCCTCGGGGGGGCCTTTGTGGGCCGTTCGGGATCCTCTTTGGGGCCTCCTGGGGGCCTCTTGGGGCCTCTTGGGGCCATCTTGGGTCCTCTGGGAGCACCTTGGGTGCCTCTGGGGGGTCTCTTGGGGCCTCTTGGGGGTCTCTTGGGGGCCTCCTGGGGGCCTCTTGGGGGGCCTCTTGGGGTCATCTTGGGGCCATCCTGCGGCCTCTTGGGGCATCCTGGGGGCCTCTTGCGGCCATCGTGGAGGAAATCGATCAAAGAAGAGGGGTTCCTTAATTAGAGTCCCCCCCCCAGGAGCCACGATCCTCGTGAGGGGTGTCGAATTTTAGCCTTCCCAGGGGTCGATCTTGGGCGCTCCAGCGCGCCGCGGAACCCCCTGTCCAGGTCAGCGGGGATGGGGTAGGGGGATGGGTAAACCCCTCCCCGAAGGGGAAGAAGGAGGGGTGGAAGAGGAAACGATCTAAACCACCGACGCCCAGAGGGCTGGTGGGATTAGTTCAGTCTGGCCCTATGCCCGTGGCCTCTTCCGATCGCCCAGACCACAGAGTCAGCAGAGCTGGCCCCATAATGGCGCAGAAGTAAGCTAAGCACGGGGAAGCGGGGAAGGAAGAGAAGGAGGAGGAGGAGGAGGAGGAGGAGGAGGAGGAGGAGGAGGAAGAGGACCCCCAGGGCTCACGCCCCCATCTTCACGCGGCACTTCTCAGGCCTGATCGATCGGTGAGGACTCCGGAGCCCACATACTGCGCGAACGCGGCCATGCCATATCAGGACTTATTTTCTTGGGGCCGCGGCTACAAGAAATGCGCCGCCAAAATGAACAGTTTGGGGCGGGGGTGCCGTGGGTCATTTTTCGCCGGATGTCTCTCGCCAAACCGACGAAACCGCCCATTCTTGGTACATGTCTACGCGTATGTGGGAAAAGGGGGTGCCGTATGTCATTGTTCCGACCCCTTTCCCGGACTGGTTGAGCTGTTGTTTCGTTTTGGCAAGTCCCAAACCGTTGTGTTTTGGGCGTGTTTCCGGGCTGATGTTTCGCAGCCGTGCCCCTGGGAATCCAACTTGCTATAGCATGTGTTATATCACGAAGCTTGGACCCTTGCGAAATCGACCTCCGGACCTCTTCTGGAGGGGGGCCCTCGGGGCGGGTGGGCAGGAGAGCTCGGTCGGACGAGAGGGGGGGATTGGGAAAGGGGGGGTTACGAAATTTGCTGCATGCAGCTGGTTTCGGCCTCACCGAGGGGCCCATTCCTCGATACATAGCTCCATCCGGCGCCGGGAGGCGCCGGGAAAATCAGCTACGTGAGCTGATTCTCAAACCCCCCCTTTGCTATCCCCCCCTTTCGCCCGACCCGAGAGAGCCTGGTCGGACGAGAGGGGGGGATGTTGGGAGGGGGCGAGCGAGCCAGCCTTTCGACGGGCGGCGCGCACGCAAAAACTGCGACGGGGAGCGCCGCGGCGCCGCACCGCGGCGCTTCCCAGCCACGCTCGGGCGCCGCGGTGGCCCCGCCAGCTCCCACGATTCAGCGAGCGAAGAACGGTATAGAATAAACTTTGGATTGCAAAAAACGAAGGATTGCAAAAAAAACCTTCGCTCCCACGATTCAGCGAGCGAAGGAAGGATTGCAAAAAAACCCACGAAGGATTGCAAAAAAACCCTCGCTCCCACGATTCAGCGAGCGAAGAACGAACGTCACCACCCACCAAACCACCCCAACCCAACCCGAAGGCTCAGATTTACCCTCGATTTCTAGTGGGGGGGGGTTGGGAAACATCGAACAAACACGCGTGGAACCCTTACCCCCCCCCCAACCCGAAATTCGGGTCTTCGGGTTGGGTTGGGGTGGTGTGGTAGGTAGTCAGAACGGTATAGAATAAACTTTCCGCCGTTGGAGACACCTGCCCCTGGGCGGCTGGAAAGTTTATACCCCTACGGTGCCACCGTGAGGGTATCAACTTTCCAGCCGCCCCGGGACAGGCGCCCCCGACGGCGAAAAAGTTTATTCTACACCGTCCTTCGCCCGTGAAACGATGCTGCTGCCCCTCCCCACGCTTGGGGAAGTTTGGCCCTCCGCCAGGCGCGCTCCGCGGGCCCTCCGCCAGAGGCGCGCTCCTCCGCACACTCCTGGCGCCGCCGGCGCCAAAGGGGGGGGCGCGGGGCGCCAGAGAAGCCGGCTGGCTGCCTCGCTGCCACCCCCCTTCGTTGCTTTTCCCCCTGCTCTCGTCTGGCCCGAGACAGGGGCCTGGGGGAGGTTGTCTATCACCAGCCTCGAACGTATCCCTATCCCTAAGATTGACACGCGAAAAGGCGATGACAATCTCAGGGATACACCCTCAGAAACTGAGGAAACCCCTAAGATCGCCATCGCCATGAGGCGATGCCCAACATAGGGATAGGGATATGTTCCAGGCTGGTAAGTCTACCACTTCGGCCCATCCCGCCGCTGTGCCTGGGTTGTGCGTCAGAATTTAGGGGACCCCTCTTGGAGCCGTCCTGGGGCCTTCTTGGGCCGACTGGGGGCCTCTTGGGCTGCGTTGGGGCCCCAGTGGGCAGTCTTCCGTCTTCGACTCTGTGCAGGCCGAAGAGGCGAATATGCACAACAAGTACGTTTTCTGACGGGAATGGGGCGCTCTGTGCTTCTTGGAGCGCTCTTTAGGCCTCCTCTGGGAACTCTGTTGGGACGTTTCGCAGACCTCGGGGAACTTCTCTTGGCGCTCTGTTGGGCCTCTCTGTTTCGCAGACGTTTCGCTCGTTGGGCCTGCTCTTGGAACTCTGTTGGGCCTCCTCTTGGAACTCTGCTGGGCCGTCTTGATGCCATCTTGGGCGGCTCGGAGGCTTCTTGCACTGTCCTGGGAGCTTCTCGGGGCCCTCTTCGCCCGTTTGGGGGCCCTGTTGGGCGGGGCCACCGTCCCATCTACCGGCCCACGCGACACACCCCTGGAGCGCCGGCACACCCCAGGAGTGCCCAGGAGCGCCTGGCAGCGCCCGGGACACTGGTGGTCCGGGCCCTTAAGAAATTGGAATCTCGTAGACATTCAGCACCCCCACGCCGAAGGGCGAGGAAAAGCGACTGCCGCGAGGAGGGGGGGGGGGGAGACATGCAGGGCAGCGCCGCCCCCCCCGCCCCCCCTAGCAGCACCCAGTAGGAAGATGACGAGGAGGCAAGAGCAGGAGGATGAGGCGAAAGAGAAGTCGAAGGGAGGTAGGAGGAGAGGGGAGAAAATGGGGGAGGAGGAGGAGGAGGAGGAGGAGGAGGAGGAGAGGGGAGGGAGGGAGGAGAGAGGGAAGGGAGGGAGGAGGCGAAGGGAGGGAGGAGGAGAGGGGAGAAGAGGGGGAGGGGGAGCCAGGAGAGGTGCCGCGTTTGGGACCTGCGCGCCCGGGTGCCTCCTCCTGGGCGGCCGTGGCTCTGTCATGTGGGCCGTGGGATGTCCAGGTAAAGTACTGGCCCGTCCGGAGATTTCGGATGCTCAGCGGGTGATGATGGGTGCCCTTCGTTGAGAAGGAGGAGTTCCATCGGGGGAGAACAAACCTACCTCGCGTTTGACCACCCTCGCTTCCAAGAGGTACCAAACAATGCGAAATTGCGGCCTGTACCGGTCAGGCCGCTTGACGAGGAGGCGCGTGGTATGGCTTGGTTTTGCCTGGAAGCGAAAGCGGGGGAGGTAATTCACGCTCTGATTCAAGGCCTCCTAGATGGGGTCCGTGCAGATGGGGTCCGAGGATCGCGCCGTATCGCCGATGCGGCTCGACGTGCAGCCCGATTTGCTTCGCGCCGGCATCGCCGATGCATTGCCGACGTCGGCAATGCCTCGCCGGTGTATCACCGATGCATCGCCGATGCATCGGCGATGCATCGGCGATGCGGCGCGATCCCCCGACCCCATCTACTCCGAACCCATCTAGGAGGCCTCTAGGAGTGGAACTCCTTGCTGAATGACGAAGGTGAAATTCCGTGGCTCATCAGGGCTTCGATCGGGCATGCCGCGCTTCGCATCGAAAGGCGAGGATTGGTCAGTTGCATGAGTGGAGGATGGGGGACTTTTCGAAGAGTTGGAGCTCCAGGAGCCTTCGGCTGTGCATTTTGCCCCCTCTTCCATCTGTGCTGAGCTGCTTGATGATGCGAGTTATATCCGCATCAGCATCACAAAACAGGCACCAAAGGATACATTGTCACCAAACAACCCAACTGCCCCGAGGACGCCGAAAGACCTTGGGGTCGCGGCCTGTTCCAGAAGGCTTTGCCAACAGTCGAGGTGAGGCGAAATGGTTAACTCAGGGAGAGTACAGCATTGCCAGAAATAGAGAATTTGATCACACAGCCTGTCTGCCTGTGGACGAGAGAGAACTTCAGAAGGCAAGCGTACTCGTCGCGCTTGACGCCGGGACCTGTACGAAGTACGAGTCCAAGTCGGCACTGCACGGAACAAAAAACGCAACAGACCGCAATTATTCCAATAAAGCCGTGGAGGTCTTCACTTTGTCATGCCGCGACTGAAAACTGACTTGGCCTAAGCTCCACGACAGAAG